ACTGCACTCTAGTCTGGGCGACAGAGTGAGACTCCAACTCAAAAATAAATAAAATAAAATAAAAATAAAAAAATAAAACACATCAACTGTGGATCCTGCTGGACGGATCCTGCATAAGAGAAGGAAAGACCATTTCCAGCCAGAAATGTGGCATTAGATCAGTTTCACAAAAAATAATAATAAACCTGGATTGGTTCCAAATCTAAAACAAAACGTGTATTCATGAAAAACAGGGGTGCTGGAAGAATTTTTTTTTAAAACCAACCAGCAGATGCATATGAATAATCTGTAGACATTTGGTTTTTCTATAAAAGCGTTTAGAGGGTAGTGGCATGTGACCACCACATCTTCTTACTTGCACTGTGTAGTGTGTGTGTGTGTGTGTGTGTGTGTGTGTGTGTGTGTGTGTGTGTCTACAACAATAAATACAAGTCCAAAACGCCGTCCTGTGCTCCATAGGAATTGCACTGCAGCACACATCCCACAGTTTCACTGCTGTCTTCAAATGCCCGAGTTTTAACCATGAAGAAAAACAAAGGAAAAATGCTAAGGTTTATACCGTCTATCCCAAAAGCTCAAGGGACAGCATATGAGGAACATAAAAAGTCATAAAAACAAAGCTGAGTCCAAACATCTCCCAACTGTTTAGAATTTCATCCCACAGTGTGACCACTCAATTTTAAACATCTGAAATGACTCCATGAGCAAAGTTTACTTTTTCCAAACATGGCTTAAAAGCTCTTTCCTGCCTGTCCCAAAGCCCTCCTCATTCACAATACCGAATAGTCCTCTCTTCCTCTGGCTTTTTAAGCAGTTTCCTTTCATCCACAACCTCTCAGCAGCATCCCTTCTTTCAAGATAGAATTGCCCATCTAGGAGCCTGTGTTAGTCCACCTCGGGTTGCTGTAAGGAAATCCCTGAGGCTGGGTAATTTCCAAGGAAAAGCATTATATTTAGCTCCCAGTTGTGCACAGCGCCGGCATCTGCTTCTGGTGAGGCCTCAGGAAGCTTCCAGTCATGGCGGAAGGTGGAGAGAGAGCAGGCGCATCCCACAGCAGAGTGGGAGGAAGGCGGGGTGGGGGAGGGGTGTTGCCAGATTCTTTTATACAACCAGTTCTTGAGTGATTAATAGAGCTAGAACTCACAACCGCGAGCACAGCATCACAACATCCACGAGGGGTCCACCCCTGTGACCCAAACACCTCACGCCACGTCCCATGCCAATACCGGAGATCAAAGTCAATGTGAGGTTTAGACAGTACTCACACCCAAGCCACATAAGAGCCATCTTCCTGAAGTGGACTCTGGATCCAGCCCCTGGGACACACTTGCAGAGTGGATGCTGTCACACCTGCCTTGTGGAACCACAAGGTTCAGACAGAACACCATGGGGATAGTGCCCGGCTCAGAGTTGACCGGCAGTCACGGTCATTTTTCTCACACAGCTGCTTTATCGCCTATTTTTTTATTTGTACCCAGTTTCCTAGAAAACCTTCCAAAGCTCTTAGTGCATAAAATTCTTTGTCATCAAACTTAAGAGCTCAAAGTAAATTTGAATGTAACTTCCACTTTTGCAGAAAGAAGCCTGAGACCAGGAGGAGATGGTGAAGCCACAGTCAGTCTCAAAGTTTCCTCGCACATGGCCCTCGGGAGACTGGCTCGTATGCTTTCCAGGGTTCAGAAACCTCATTCGCTGGAGTAATTGTGACCTCGGTCATCTCCATGTGTGACAGGGACACGGCAGGCACTAGCTGGAGAAGCCAGGCTGAGAAATGCCCCAGACCATCACAGCAGGTGTAAGGTGTGCTCTCCCGTGGCAGAGGCAACCCCCTAGTATCATCTAAGGGGGTGTTACCTAATACTGTCTTGAGGGACAGCATTTCCTTCTGAAGATCTGTTGGTGGGCCATGAATATGCCAGGATGGAGCAATGGTCCTCTCCTGGGAAGAGGTCCTACAGCACTGTGACCTGAAGCAAGACAGCCCTAGGGTGATAAGCAACTAGCTTCGACAAGGCCGGTGTGTCCACCAGCTACCTCCGAGTAGCTGTGTGCATCAATAGAGATGCATCTTGGCAAAATCACACCGAGTATGAAATGGCGCCTCCAAAGTGTAACTAAAACCAAGCAATGACTCACAGGAGCGCCTGCAGATAGGAGAGGCCAGGTGTGTCTAAACATCCATAGTTTGTGAATTTTGCTAGTATCTGCATCCACCTCTATGTCATGCAAGATGCCATCAACACAAGTGTCAGAATAGCACGGGCCTTGAGTGGTGCCATCTTGGAGTCAGGCCGGGATGAGGTCCCACAGTGGGCAAGCTGTGGCCAGTGCTCCAGTTTCTAGTTGGGAGATGAAGTCACAGAGACCTGGTATATTATCAACATAAACATGCAGGCATAGATGTTGAATAACCCTCCACATTAAAGCAAAAATAGAGCAGCCAGCAGCAAAGCCAGGACCCTGTAAGCATTCGCTATGAAGTTAAGTGGCCGGGAATCCCTGTGGACTGTGTAGGGTGCGTCTGGTGGCCCGGGATGGCTAGGAACGCACAATAACCCCCATGGTCCTCCTAGGTGAGCCCAGCAGCTAGAATGGACTGAGCACTGACTTAAAGAAGCTCCCTGGCTAAAGACAGAACAAGCTGAGCTTTGGGGAGGATAATACTGCAGCGGCTTAAAGCCACATGTATACTTAAACCCACAAGCTCACCAGGAGACCTCCAGGTACTTGTTACTTATCCTGATGGACTTTCCTTCATGGAGAGCAACCTGGATAACAAAAAGGCAGACGGGGCAGCATCTCTTGACGAGTTTCCCGGAATAAAGAGAAAAGAAACGACAGTGCCAGATCACCACTTGTCAGCAGCCTAGCGGGGTTAGAGACCACTGCTGCTATGAGTGGCATGGAAGAGACAGGGGCTGGCGTGCCCCACAGAGTGCTTAGCGCCTTCCCGCCTAGGCATGGCCTGAGTCTGGCCAAGCTGCTGGGTCCACCTGCCAATTCACAGGATGTACCAGGAATGAGGATCAAGATGAACAGCACCACAGATATGCAATCACCACAAATTTCCACTGTGGAAGACTCCTCGGGTCTTTGGGCCCAGGATGCCCAGCTGAAAAATGGTAGGGAGAAGACCAGGAGGAGGGGCCTAAGTACTGAACAAGACTCACAAGATACCAAATGAAGGCCCAGACAAGACTACACCAGTGTTCAAGGGACCCATTTGGGTGATGAGACGGCCGGGAAAGGAAGTCAGGAGAGTCCTGAGAGGGCCAGGTGACCTTGGAAGGAAAGCCCTGGTGCTCGGGTGGGCAGAGGGGGGTTTCTGGGGTGTTTGCCTTGCACTAAGTCAGCTAGGCCTCTGCATGACTCTTGCTCAGCGTTTTTATTTTACAACGGAAAGTTCAAAGGAACTAAAGAGTGAGAAGTCAAGGACACCTGACCGGCACACGCAGACCCAATACAGCGGCGTCTGACACGCACAGCCCCCAAGGGAGCCTTGGGACGTAGTGAAGCATGTTGTCGAGGGAGGATAGCTGCTGTGCAGTTCCACTCCTGGGAGGGCCCCAGAGCCACCACCCACAGGCACAGGAAGTGGATCGGTGGGGCCAGGACTGCCAGGGCACGGGGAGCCGCCGCTTAGTGGGTGCAGTCTTGGGCTGGGAAGACGAGGAGGCTCTGGGGGTGGCGGGGGGCTCCATGGTGATGTAAGTGTGTTGATGCCACCGAAGTGAGCACACTAAAATGATGAGAATAACACTGGTATGTTGCATGTGTCTTACCACAATTTTAAAAAACAGACAAAGCATTCAAAGCACCCAGAGTCTGCGTAATTGGGGCCCAACAGAGGGGAAAGGGGAAAAAATGAG